TGTTTTGAGAATGATGAGGGCAATGAATGTACAAATGTGCTTTACACAATTGATGTATGTATGGATTGTGATAAGAGTTGTATGAGCCCCTAATACATTGATTAAAAAAGAGAAAAGAAAAGAAGACAAAAAAAAGAAAATCACCAAGACATATAATCAAACTTTAACCAAACTGAAATGAGAAAGAAATAATTGCCCAATATAGTCAGATTAATACACCCCTTTCATCGAAAGACAAAACAACCAGAAAGAAATTAAAACAAGATACAGAAGACCTGTCCTAAACAACACAAGGAGCCAACTAGATGTCTGCAGAATACTCGACCCCACAACAGCACAGTATATATCCTTTCCAAGCATACATGGTATGTTCACCAGGATAGGCCTTATGTTAGTACACAAAGCAAGCCACAATAATTAAAAATATGGAGATAATACAAGACATATTCTCAGATCACAGTGCTTTAAAATGAGTCATCAACACAAGAAGATTACTGAGCGGATCACATACAAGGAAACTGAATAGCACTCAACTTAAAAACAGTTGGGTAATAAAAGAAATAAAAATGGGGGAAAATTCCTTCAATTAACTGAGAATGAAAATGCAACATAAAGTCTTTGAGACTCAGCAAAACCAGTGCTCAGAGGACAACTTATAGTAATAAACACACATATTTTAAAAAGAAGAAAGAATCAAAATCAACACTTCAACTCAACATCAGTAATTAGAAGAATAGTTTTTTTAAAAGTCTACAGTCACCATGAAAAAGGAAATAGAAAATATTCAAGCAAGATTACATGAAACATAAACAAAAGAAATATAAACAATCAATAAAACTAGAAGTTGGAGTTTCTTGTATTGTTTTGTATTTTACATTTCTATTGGCTTCTAATTCACATATCATACAATTCAATAGTTAAATCGTTCAATCATATCAAGAAGAATTGGACAATTATTATCACAATCAATTTTAAAACATCCCCCTTTCCCCTGCCCCCACAGTTAATTGCCTTTAAAATGAATTGTGTAATCACAATCCAATCTAAGTCTCCCTGC